AATGATAGAAGGAGCAGAGAGGAGGGGATAAGCAGGATAGACAGGGGTGGAGAACGGAGGGGAGGGCAGCCATGGGTGCTCTCATGACTCCCCTCACCCAATCCTTCACTGTGAACCAGAGGATCAAATGCCAGACCAATCAATCGTCCACCAAAGCAGACATCTACAGCGCGGGCCATGATGGCATTTACCTCCCCAGGGTGCATATCAATAAAATAAAAAAAGATATCATACAAAATTGATTGTCCCCAAACAACCTGCCCACCCACACCATCAGGCCAGCCTCTCACCATCATCATCTGTTCTTTGGCTCTTTATTCGCTCTGTCTGTCCTTAGCTCCAGTCCCTTGGCTTTTCTTTTTTGGCCTCTCTGTCTGTTGCGATTCTTTCAGCGTGCCTGATTGATGTACAACAGACGAGGTTTGCAGGGTTTCGAGGCAGAAGCCACTGAGCGGCCTTTCTGACAATGTGGCACGAGGAAAAAGTCCAGCTGCAACGCTGACCAGCCACCCACAAACACCCACACATACACTGATGATGCTGTAATCTGACGCTGAATTATCACAGAGCTCGACCCGCGTGACCTTTTCAGACCCATTAAACCGTTCATTTGCATGTTAACCACTAAGGCTGCCCCAGCTGCCCCCTGCACGCCCTCTGATACCTCCCGCCGCAATGTGTCAGCCGCACAATGGGGCATGCGCCGCCAGAATACCAAAGCCCCCCCACCCCCTTGTTCCTTGCTTTTGTTTGTCCAGGAGGATGAAGTGCAGAGGAGTTTATCAAGTCAAGAGGTCAAACCATCAATACGCCTCATACAAACACACACGGCTGTCACACACACTCGCCTCAAGGGCAAAAAGACAACTGGAGATTAACACGGGCTGTATTTGTTCTGTCTGCCCATCTGGCCGGGCTGAAAGCTGCCGGGCCGAACACCTGTGGCAAACATCCTCCATCTACCGCTGGTCAGCACGAAGAGCAGGGCTCGGCTTCTGGAAGCAAATGCTGTCATTTAATCATGCCCGAGCTTGCTCCCTCCAGCGTTCCCACTCTCATTACTCTCTGTGTCTCTAGGTAAACAGAACAATCAGCAGAGCGGCTGCCCTCGCCAGTGTGGAAAAAGAAAAAAGGCCCGGTTCCACATGAGGTGATTCGCCCAGCTATAACCCCCACATCAATAATATTCACACTCCTCACAGAACGCGAGCAAAGACAGAAAAACGGAACTCAGTTACTCAGTTGTAAAACAAGATGAGTTAGTTCAGGTCAGAGTTTGAGGAAACAGATTGCCTTAAACCGTTTAAATTTATTACTTCCAACCTAAGCATAAAAAAATATTTGATTTGATTAGAACATATTTATTGTTAAGGTCACTTAAATTAAAGGTAAATTAAGTTAATTGTACCAATTTCACTCAGTTAATTGAACTAGTATTACACTGATATGCATAATTTCTCCAAACTTATTTTAAATGTGTTATTTATAAAGTATCTTTAATGCATCTTCTTTGTACAAATGTTACCACTTAAATTAAATGTAGTTTTCTTCCACTAAAGCCGATTATTACGTACAATAAAAACTATTTACAATTAATCAATTATTAAAACAATAGCCAATTAATTCTGGGGCGTTGGGGCTTATATTTGTGTAATGGTATAAAAATATTTAAATCATCAATACTTAAAATGCCGCACTATTACTTCAACACCTGGAGGATTACGTTAGCTTGCTTCTTTTGTTAAGATGTGTTGTTAGGATTTACAGTGTACTGACCCTGCATCGCAATAAACTATAAATCAACAACTGTTGTGATGTGAGCACAGTGTTCTATTTAAGATCTGACCAAGCCACCGGCTGTGTCTTTCCTTGTTCTTCTGTGTCTCTCTCTAAGCATCTCCCATGAATACAGCATAAATATTTTGGCAGGTGGTGTTTGGAGGATATTAGAGCACAAGCGCCGAGCGCTCAGGGATATCGATTTTGCTTTGGCGGCCAAGAACCATGGCTCTACTGGCATCGATACGTCGAGGAGAGGAGGTTGAATGAGGAGGAATGACCTTGAGTCAGGAAGCAATCTTGACAAATAAAGCCCCAGGAAGGAAATGCGGGGAAACAAAACACTGAAGATGTCAGAGTGCAGGGACTCAGGGGTGACACTGTGGAGAAGATAATAAGGGGAGCAACACATCAAGAATTTGGAGTATTTGACGTTCAAAGCAATCTCTTTTCCCTCCTATTGATTTGGGAGGAGTATTCCTTTTGGAGATGATGCTTAAATATCTGTTCAGGCTGAGACGAGAGTACTGCAAAGATACATGGAAATGTTAATGTGCTCCTGAACAGAGAAAGGTGAAATAGGTCTTCAGGTTACCGGAGGATCGCAGAGGAGCAACAGGGTATCGTGCAGAAAAGAAAAACTGTTCACGTTGTACAAGCATCAAAGAATATCCAGTATTCAGTAAAAAATTGATGTTTCCATGCAATTACTGACACTTTTAAGCAAAAACTTTTTTTTCACAAATGCAGTTCCAGTGTGTAACATTTAGGATCTATTGGCAGACATGGAATATAATATTCATAGATATGTTTTTATCAGTGTATAATCAACTGAATATAGGAATCATTGTGTTTTTGTTACCTTAGAATGAGATGTTTTTGCTTATTTGTAGATGGCAGGAGTGAAAATGTGTCATCCTCAACTCAACATTTGTTGTGTTCTGTTAGAATGATAAAGACAGTTAGAGAACAATAAAATACAAAAAGGGGGTGTAGGCTCTTCAGTAGGATTGGGAACATTGGGTTACATTTTTTAGGCATTTTGAGCACATTTGAATAACTGGGAAGATGTGTCCCCCACAATTTATATATTATGTTACCTCATGTTTTGATTCCTGGTGCATATGAACTAATCTGCTTATTTCAGAGAGTTTGTTGATGCTACAGTCTAATGCAGGTCAAGGGGAAATGGAGTCTGATTTTACATGCTCCAACAATAAATAACACTTGAAACAACAAGCGCAAACTTGACCTTTCTCTTACGGGGTCACATAAAAATGCATCCGAGACCAATTAAAAACTGTGGGGGGTCACCATTCCTTCAGAATCAACGCTGTAGCCTCTCCACTGCTGTAAAAAGTAAAGAAAACTCCATGCTGAGGAATACAGCGCTGCCTCTGAGCTGATAGGCCGGGATCCACCAAACTTGAACTTGTTTATTCATCAGATGCATTCATCCATGTGGAAATGAGGTGTGAAGCACAGTGGTACTCCTACACGCCAACCTTCGGCTGGTTATCAGCGCACTGCTGTATGGTGCAACTCTGGGAGGCAACCTCTAAGGTCACGTTTCAGGATTTAGACCCCTCCCTACCTCAAAAA